CGAGTCACAAACGCCTGGCGTGCGTAACATTTTCCTAGATGGATATACGCGCGAGAATAACTAAACAAAGGAACACAAACTTAATAAAACAGTTTCCTACGGCTTTCACGTAATTGCGGTCCACCTCACAATCAGATTTCGCCTCGCTATGATAACCGCTTATTATTAACAGAGCTATATTTCAGACTATCAAATGAATAATCAAACGCAATTCTTTTTCGGATTCTTTTGAGAGCCTGCTCATCAGCTATTACGCATCTTTATTGTGCGCCGCACGTACGATAATGGCTGCCTCCGAGATACTAATTTGTGGTGACCATTACGCGCGAAATAACAGCAATTACGCCGCCTATTAAAGACAAATGAGTGCAATGACTTCTGCGAATTGACTTTTGTCGCACTAGTACTTCATCGACATTACGTGGACATTAATTGCTTTTTATGCGAGCTTACCTAAGCGCAATTTTAAAATAACAGTTGAGTAAGTAATAACTAAATTAATAAAACATTTTGCATTTTAATTGAATTTAAAAATACTTTAGTTGGATTTAAAAATTATTTCAATATCGCGCCATGTGTGATGCGAACTGAGTTACAATAAATGTTATTGTTTTAATTTAAAAGCTGCTTTATCCTATCGAATTTCCATTATTTCTATGAAAAATATTATAAAAGTAATATGTATTTTGTTATGTATGCTTCGAAAAAATGTTTACATTAGATTTACGCAAGTAGTATCGCAAATATACTTTCTTCTTGACGATTAAAATTCACTAAGATTCAACGAATGTAACTAAACTTGATTCCACCGTATTAGTTTACTTTGTATTCGTTATTCGTTAATCTATTTGTTTGCAGCTTCATGCTCCGGTAGCCACGTGTATCAAGATAGAGATCCAAAAGATACATTGCATCCCGATAATGCTTTGGATCAACGTTGACTCGATTTCTCACCGAAATGTTACGTTTCTTCGAATGATTTTCACATCGAGCCGTTTCTCGCGAAACGGCCATTCTAGCTTCTTCTGAAAAAATGATTAATGGCACACTCGGTAGAGAGCAATCAACAATTTTCAGCGATAAGGCAGATATACCACGGTAAATACTCGATCGAGACACTTTGCACGCTCGCTGCACAATAAGTCAACTTTCACCTCGAGTAGAGCTAGTGCTTTCGCATTAAGAGAGAAATCTACGGGTATAACGAGATCGTGCTTTAGACCTTCGCCTCGCCTTTGTTCCGCTTCGCAAAATTTGAAGCGTAGACACTCGCCTTCGCGTGGCTTAAAATATTCGTAAACTGGACGTCCGATCGCGCAGGTGTTAGGAATCTCATTCGCACGTGCAGAACACCGCATAACTTGCGAATAAAATTAGACAACAGGTCTCCTCGTCTGGTTCTCTCCAATTTTGTTATTATGTAACAGCAAGAAGCAAGCAGTTTCTGCTGATCGATAGTTACGAAAATGCATTTGCATTAAGAGATCCATTTTTTATACATATATCTGAACAAAAGTAAATAAAGATTTGTCAGGTCTCCGCATTTTTAATTAATTTTTCCGTTTTTGCTTTCTCTCACAAAATCTGTTAAAAAACACGCTGTGTTGGAAAAATTTTATTTCACACTTTTTACTTATTTTTTCACGTAAAATCATCAGTTTCCTGTATAGTTGATACCATCAATAACGGACCACTTTATATGTCACATGCCATCACGCGACGCTTTCGTTTCATAAAAAGCGCATTTCCGAGTTCTTTTGCAGGTGCCATCGATCAAATGGTGCTCTCACGATCCAACATTCGCTCGATATAATTAAAATGTCACCGAAGATGTTAAATTACTCCCGAGAACTGTCGATTACTTCGCGGCGGGATTTCTTATAATTGATCCTATTAGTCTGCCAGATTTCATTTCTCATGCGTCGAACATCGCACTTTCTCTTTCATTTCCTGCAGCTAAATTAAAAAAACCGGAACTCCCGCGCATGGAACTTCTTCGCGATTTCCAGATACTTGCGGCTTACCGTCCACAAGTGCCATTAAATTTTTTAATTTGCTCGGAAATAGCGAAAACAGCGCGTTAAATATATTAATTCGTTAGTTAAATTAAAAAATTCATTCCGCTCTACAAGCTATCGATTAAATTGCATTTCTATTTTTATTTATTTCGTGCAAATATTTAAAATTTAATTAACACACAAAGGACGCATGAATGTGAAGAATGTAGGAAATATTCACGCATCGTGCGCAAAATGTATGCAACTCATATATGCAAGTTCATGCGGTTCTCGTATCGGACATTGCGTAAATACATGTCGTTGCACATTGATGCCGAAGCACATTGGGAACCACGGATGCGTGTACTTCATCAGATTACATTTAAAGTTCGATGAACCGCATTCGCCATTCATGCTCGATGCAAAGATCACCGATACAGTTCACGAAATAAAGTTCGGAGAAATCGAACGCTTGTAAGAGATTCCATCCAGATTATCTACCGATAAATTGAAAAACATTTATTCGATTTTATAAAGGTAATAACTATATGCATCTTTATGACCGTACCTACACTTTATATCTGTATATGTCTGTATATCTTCGCTGACAAACAATGCAAAATTCACTATCGTATGCACGACGTCATGACAGGATATATTTCACGTAACCGTATCAACAATTTTAAACAATTTTGTGCATCAATGCACGCGGCGTAAGTATAATATAACGCTCATGAAATTGTTGCACGAATATATACCGAGATATTAAAACCTGTTATATGCAAATTCAATTATCTCAACTCCCCTCGTCGCAAACGCAATAACACCTCGTAGAAAGGTAATTTTTAATTATTCAAAACACGATTGCTTTTTTCCTTATCATGCAATTAGAAAGCGCGGAGAAACTTCCACGATGCTTGCGCGAACGGTGTTACATTTAAAGGTTTCGTCGGCGAAATATATTCAGAAAAATCGTGTGTAAACACGAACGTGTTGCGCATCGGGTGCAAGGACCTTGCCTCACTATAATGGATAACAGGCTCCGCCGCGTATCCATTTTTCTATGCACGGTCCACGTCTACGCCTCTCGTCACGCCTACGTACGATAAATCGCGATTTTATTCCGCGCTTTTAGATATCATAAAAAATTTTTATAAAAATTCACACGGAGGGATTTTACGAGTAGCTGGCGATTTGTTACGCAAATCACGGTAATAACGTAATTACCGTTTAGATTTTTCGAGCAATCCGCACGCGGGTATTCGGCTTGCAGTTTCTCGCTTCTTTTCTGCCATTTAGAAAGTAGGATACTCCAGTGACACGTGAGAAATCCACGTATATATAGTTATAGACGTTAATTTGCAGGTACGGCGACCAGGGATGCGTAAAATTTCTACGTTACACGAAATCATAAAGCAATATGGACTTTTCCTCTTTTATTTTCTTTCAATCGCATTTCGAAAAAAAGTTTCGTAAGTATTAACACTTTCAATAGATTTAAATTTATTGTTTAGTTATAATATTAAATTTATTTATTTATTTGCCTTATATTGAAACAAATATAGGCAAGATGCATTATCATGCTGTTGAAATTCCTTGCCCGATAAATAAATTTAAATTAATTCCAAAAATATATTTTCGGTAGTCTTAAAATGACTATTTGCGTTAAAAAATTAAGAATTAAAAGAAGAACGGCGTTTCGTATATATACTTTTATTTAATAGTTAAATGAGTTCAATCGTTGCGATCAATACAATGAGCCCGTAATGCTCTTATCGGTTAGTAATAAACTCCTTCGTACCGAGACCCACCAATCGCAGGCGATTTCGCGATTGCCAATAACCGATAGCCCGCGCGTACATTAGCATAATTTTGCACGCATTGCGCCGCGACGATAGACGCGGGACCGGATGCAACGGGAAAAAAACGGCATATTGCGTCTTACGTAAGGCGCGCTGAAGGAAGCGAAAAAAAAAAGAACGCTGAATCCTCATTGAAATTCCCGGGACAGCGCATTGCTCAAGGCGGTACACCACGGCATACCACCGTTCGGCGAGGACCTACTTTTTAAACGGCCACACGTGATATTTTCTCTCCCACACATATCTTTGCGAAATCTTTGCAACCGCGAAATCCCGAAATTCAACTTCGCGCACGACACGACGCGGAATCGGACGACTAAATTGCTGGTTTCACACGTGAACTCGCTGATCGCCGCGGACAGGAAGAGGATATTGCATCTCCATCTCTAAACTTTCCAGATAAATAATTCCTGTCGCTTATTCACGCGTTATAACACGTAGACATAAATTTCAACATATAGTTTCAGCTATTCCACATCATTTTTTTTTCATCCTGATTCTTCGAAAATATAAAATAAAATTTATTGAAGAACTTGTTTCAAACAATACCAAAATTCCAAATTTTCAAAAGAAAAGAAGGAAATTCAATATGTGACTTGTTCCTTATGATACTTTTTTAATTTTCTCTTCTACAATAATTCATACTGTAAAATATATTTTTAAGATGTAAAATATCATAAAATGTTTTTTATTAATTATTTATTTAAAAGAAAAAATTAATTTAAAAAAAGAAGATTTTAATGACTGCCAATAATAAGAATTGAATTTCAAACTCCAAACAAGCTAACTCCAAGACGATCAATATTAAGTTATTTCTGCATTATAATCTTGCGTGTGACAAATGACAAGTGCCATTTCTTAGTCCACCGCTCCATCCGAAACCGCACGCTCGTCAAAAAGAGCGCGTCACCGCCGGGATTTAATGCTGCTGAGAACACGAGTCGACGCGTCGATTGCGTCGGGGTGTAAAATTTTTCCGCGACCACCCTCAGCCGCACGTCAGACGGAAAATCTCTCGCCGCAGCATCCATCGCGCGCGGTATCCGTCGTCGCCGTGAGAGACGACAGAGAATCAGTATCGATCCGGAGCACGGTACGATTCTAATAATGGGAGCAACCAGGCGTGTGTATAGGTACTTACCCGCGTGTAAGCCGCACGCACCTCTTTGCCATTCGCGCGAGAAGAGAAGAGTAGGAAGAGGATGGAAAAATCGGGGAGACCCGCGAAGCGACGCCAGGCGACTGCGGCCACGCTTCCGGTTCTCGTCCTCGGTGCACTCGCGACTGTCACACCGACCATATACAGGGCGACGCGAATCTACCCGATCCAAACATTCGCACGCCGCGGCACAGACCGCTACTGAAGCCTCTCGGGATGCAGGGTCGCGTCGTAGCCTCGTGATCCACCTGTTGGAGACGTCCTCAACTAAGGGAAACCCCTCTCGGGTGCGGTTGCAGAGTCCGGCGATGGGCATTCAATTCTTCCAATTGCAGGTCTTCCAGTTTTCGTTCAGTTCACTGGTTTCGCGATACACTGCACATTCGAAATATTCTTGTTCAATCTCTACGATCGAACTAAACTGTTCGTTTAGTTGATGAACTAAAATGACGATGTTTAGAAGAAACTGTTTACTTCAAGTGTCGAAAGACTATTTATAAACATTTGGAAAATATTTGGAAGGCCACCTATAATATATTCTTCTTCTCTTTGTTTGCTTTTATCGTTAAATGTTATTTATAGTCACTTGTCTAATTTAAAATTAAAATGTCTCTCGATTGATATAGTGTTCAAAATATTTCTACATTTTCTTTCACATTCAAAGAATATAAAAGAAGAATAGATCAGTAGAGAAGAAGGCAATATTAACATTTCAACATAGAACTCAAAAAGAGAGACATTTTAAATAGAAATATTCGATTTTATTTCTATAAAAAGAATTTATAATCTCAATATGCATCAGAATATATATTTATAAGATATCAGAGAAATATTATTGTATCGTGTAATAATAATAAAAACGCGATCCTAAAGAAAATGTAATATTTAATTACTTTTATAAGCATATTTTTATCGAAACAATTCACATTTATCATTAAAATTTCTTACCATTATATTATATAAAATTATAGATTATCAATTATGTTTTTCTAATATTAATTTTAGAATAAAAGAGTATTGTTTACATTATGTCATTTTAAATTTTTGCATGTATTCTAATTACGTTATAAAATATTATATTTCAATCATCAGTGACTATCTAATTAAGCGAATTAATTATTTCGTATATCTCATAATTTTTTATCCTTGAATTACTTAAAACTCAAATTATACGCAAAAAATTTTTAAAATTACACAGGTATACCAGATATTCTTAAGATAAGTATTTTATAATTGAAGCTACTGAAGCTCTGTTGAATTTCGAATTCTAAATCAGGATAAAACAGAAATTCGGAGTAAGTCTTTGTAGAAATTTTAAAATTTTTTCTTGATGCATTTGAAATCATGTTGCAACGTTTGAATTTAAATGTTTGCTTCGGCTTACCATTCTTTCCGGCTGCAATATTTTTCAAAGCTGCGCAACTCTCATAAAACGAACGGTCTTTATATCATCCGTCGGTGCTCGTATCGATCCTTCAAGATCCGGAATGAGGTAATGGTTTAAAATTGCAGGCATTATCGTTCATGTAACATTTAAATAATTTTACAATTAATCTTCATATTTTGTAATCATTTTATACACATTTTTTCCACGATATATTATATAATTTTACACAACTATATATTTTTCAGTTGTTATCATTCATGTTCATTTGGCTTATAGTTCCTTTTATCTGCCACAAGTTTGTCAAGAGGACGTTAGAGTACGCCAGTATGGGAAAGGCGGCTAATGATAAAATACTGTTAAAAAATATCACTGAGAAGCCTCGGTAGAGATAATTTATTATAGATATTATCAACTATTGATATAAAATTTTGAACCATCGCGCACCGGCATAAATACCTAAACAACTTTTTAAATTTTAGCAGTTACATGAACTTTCATAAGATTGTCTTTAGTACCTTGTCGGCTACTCAACTCCCGTCGATGATTTTATCAACGGTGCTGCGAAGTTCCGGAGAACAGAAATCAACCTAGGTGACGTTTCGCACAAACAAATGCGTCAAACCGTAATATCTTACATTTCTACAAATATTTATGAAATTGTTTATACATATAAAAGAAAAATATAAAAAAGGTGCAGTAGAAAGCATCGTATTGTATCCTAAAAAGGATAGATATTCAAAAGGAAAAGAAAAGAAGAAGAAAGAAGATGATAAAAGATAATAATGATAATGTGATAAGTGATAATATAATGATGATGAAGATAAATGATGACGATAACGGTAATGAAGAAAAAGAAGATATCTCATTTTCTCTGCAGTGATATCGAACATCGTCTACTATGAGGCTTGGAAAACGCAATTTCTCACAGAGCTGTACCACAAGCATATATAACACTTACACTTCTCCATGTGTATACTATAGACTCACGGGAGAGCGACGATATCGATTTGCCCTCCTTCCTAGTTGCGTATTTCCCTTCCGCTTGTGTCGATACAGATTAGCGTAGCTGCAAAGCGCATCACAGTGCCTTGTTTCTCGTAAAAATTTTATTCGAAACGAGGAAAAAATCTAACAGCAACAATTTATTTCATCTACGAGCATAAACAAATATTATTAAAATGTATAGGACACCCGGTTCTCTCACTCAAATACGATTTATTTGCTGATATAGTACATTCGCTATTTTTTATTTAACAAAAAATCTCTATAATATAAACGCTTGTTCCGCAATCACATCCCTTCTTCTTTTTTTTTTCACCGAGACAATTATGCCCGAAAGTCACAAGAGAAGAGGTACTTATATTAAATTCTATTCTATGCAAAATAGTTTGGCGATAGTGCATAGAAAGTTAGAAAGAGAGGCGTAGGTGTGTCTATGGCAAGCGGCGTAGAATGGTGCTGGTAGGTCAAAGTTTAAATTGACACACAGACTCGGCGCGGAGCGCGGCGGCATCCCGACAGACAGCTCCGTTGTCGGGCAAAACCGATCGGGAACAACGGCCAGCTCTCGTTATCTAACGCAGCCACACTTGCGGACGCGACGTTAAGTAGTAACAACGTAGGCAGGATAATGGCATTCAAAGGGCTGTTTGCAGTTCAGTGGAGGGATGTGCGTCGTATGCAGTTACGTGGACAGGTGGAGTGGTATTTATACGCGTCTCTCGAGGCGAATGAGAGAATAGATTTATACGGAAACTGGTGCACAGCAAAATACGATCCCAATGAAACCTGCGGTGGCTGCGAAGGATACCTCATATTTAGATATTTTTGAATGTTCAAATTTTCACATATAAAGGAGGAATAAGTTTTAAATATATCCGAGATAATTAATAGTTCACTTGTTTCAAGATTTTTAGTTAAATTTTTGCAAACATTGCTTTCTTCTACAAAAAGAAAAGAAAAGAGAAGATTAAAAGAAGAAAACCAAGTTTAAATTGGACACACGTCTAAAATACCGGCCACGCGTTCTAGATATACTCTACATGATATATGAACAAAAATCAAGCTAGAGGCAGCTGTCAGATAAACGACCGAAATTATAGAGAAGCCTTCGAAGCGAGAAGCAAATGTTTCGCTCCAGTTCCCAATCATCCGGCGCCGCGCTCCGGGCCTACATTCTACATGGAAAATACAGAGTTCCTCGTACAACTTACGAAAACAGTATATGCCAAATAGTGGATAACAGTAAAAAAAAAAACGGGAACGAGCTGAAAGAACAACGTGGATTATTCAAATCGATAACTATCTGCAAGTTTGCTTCTACGTTTTTGTAGAACGTGTTTGGATCGTTGTTCCAAGTTTTTACGTAGATTAAAAAAAAGAAAGGCTAAAAAAAAAACAGAATCCTTTGTCTAAAATGCCATCTCACATTATCAAACATTTCATTTTATATGTTGTAGATATCTTTCGTTAAATAATTTTTTTTCTTAGTTGGTTAAAAGAGTAGATTCTCTCAGTTAGATGTAAATCATTTGATTGCTTTTTCAAACATTAATTTTTGTTTAATCGCCGAAAATATTTGCACATATTGAGAGACATTACTTTTCATTCCGTGTAGTTAAGGGACGTGCAGCAGCATAACAGGGGATGAAACAATAATCACTTTGTTATCTGTAGCTTGACAATTATCGGGATTGCTGCTGTAACATTATTCCATTAACCTGAAAATGGCTAATTTCCTTAACGAATCACGTTATGAGATTGATGAATTATTATTACAAACAGGATTATAAATCTGTGTTACATAAAGCGATATATTTTCACCTTTAAACCATAAAAAGAGCATCAGAAATACGATTAAAAACAGTAAAAATTGTAAAAATGTACAAAAATAATTTCACAAATGTTTTAAAAAATACATATTATATGAAATAACTGAAAAAATATTGTTAATCTACATCTATTTTAGTATCTGTAAAAAGGGTTCGAGGTACGTACCACATATTGACTCCGAAATCCCCTAAATTTATGTAAATAATTAATAATTATCGTGTAAATATCATTAAACATTAAAAGTTATTAAAGTGTGAAACATTTCATAATTAAACACATTTATTGAATTTTTTATTGGTACGAGTAATACATCGCCGCGTCGACCAGCGCGAGACGAATATACAACATATGTATTTGGTTACGCATTTAACTGCATATAGACATTTACACAATCTATAATTTCATTCATACAGCCACGCACACAAGAGACTTGCACGACTCATGAGAACGATCGAAAATACTGTTCTCCAATCAGTAAGTTGCGCAGAACACATGGTTGACTATACTATTTCCTGTATATTTTAATAGTAAATTTTTTTTGTGACTTTGAATAATCATCACTTTTAACAAACATTTTTATTAGTTAATAACTTGTACTCCAACTTTTGTATCTGCCGTATATAATTATACAGCAGCGATATTAATTGACATGTAAACTAAAATTACATCACACGTGCTAATCTTTAATCTTTAATGATCAGTCAACGATCAGCTTTTTATGATCAGTTAACGTGAAACTAGCAATCAAGATTTGGTAATCACAATATCTTTATGTGACGTCAATTCATCGACACATAGAAAGAAAAAGATTCGCTATTTTTGTTAATATACAACTTCAATTTATATATTATGCTTTTGTAATTAGTTGTTCAAAGTATTTGATAACTACGATCATTAGGCGTGGACATTGAAGCAAAAGACAGCTATCGATTTCCTTGCAAACGTTGGATAACATAATTAGCGTTACATAATCAGTTTGACTACTAATAAGAGACACTAATAATCTGCCATTTACAAATGCGAAAGCAAGGAAAATTTTCAACAACTTGATGTACATTATGTACAACATGCCTTCAACTTTAAACATTTGTTAAAAGATGTCAAAAACTGAAAAGAACAACATCCAATATAATTTTTGTTTTTAAATTTTTTTATTCAACTGGAAATTTTTAATTTTAAATCACTCTAACTCCAAAAATTCTGGAAAATCATAAATTTTCCAGAATTCTTTAAGAAAATTATAATAAGTGATTATATGCGCACATGTGATATGGGGATTTTCCTCATGAGTTATATAATACGAAGCGAAAGTTTGGTATTCTTTAATATAATGTAAAATTCTGTCACATACTTAGATAAAAATATACCCGATTGTAAATAATTGTCTGTGTTAGAATTGGCACATGGTTTGAAATTCAAATCTTCAATTGATCGTAAAATCCTCCAGAGAAGGATAAACTTTTCCTCTTATTTTCCTCTTAAGGGAAAAGTTCCGTCTTATATCCAATGACGGTGTCGTAAACGCACGTGTAGTAACGTAAAAGGGACGTATCGGATTCTTCGATCGTGAGCATCATACTGATAGGCGTTTGAACAGACTTCGACCTTTCCCTCAGCCGTTTGCGACAGGTCAATCGTAAACGACAAATAGGTATGTATGATATAGTCATGTAAACAACGTTTCGCAGGCCAAAATCCACGGGCCCGTCTAGAAAAATATAGATATAGATATACATGTACAGGGTGGTCCAATAGACTTTCGACAGCAGCGGCCACGGTCGGCCGCACCATTTCTCGTCTTGTATTAGAAAATGGAAAACTTCTCAAGAGCGCACGCGGAAGCTCCCTGCAATCTTTCCGTCATCGCGGAACTTTCCTTATAACATAATAGTATTAAAAGATTGCTAGGATTGGATACCAACGATCTCTTCATCCATTTTGATCAACGTTACTTCCAACGTGCTCGTAATCAATCTCGTTCGTTTAATAAATGAGGGAATAACGACCGAGTCGCGAGTTACGGATTTAAATATTATTCTCTGCCGTGCGCGCGTACGCGCGAAATTATGCTAATATTTTCCAATAAATATTAATATTTCCTACTTTCCTCTAACACAGAGACATGTCATTGCCAATGCCACAAGGCAAGATTCGATCTCTACACTTTTTGTTTCCTCATTTATTTTTACGACTGATCGACCTAGTTGCTACATTCTTCAGAGCTTAAAGGAGTCGAACTAGACTGGAGGAATTTTACGAAACGGCGCCGTTGCCCGGTGCCGTTTTACCTAATCTAAAGTTGGTCGCTGTCGCGGCGAGATTAAAACTTTTTTGACTTGCTCATCCAACTTTTATCCAATTTTTATCCTTTTATTCAGATAAAGCTTCAATCTCAATTTCGTCGCGAGGGAATCTCCTGACAAACACCGTTCCCAATATGTGTAAAAAATATGAAAGACCATTGGAGATATTAAAAGTCCACATTAAATATTTCTTTTATATCGTCAGTCATTACGGCAAATTACCGCGGAGGGGCTATTAATTTAAATTTATATTATATTCATATTTCGTATAAACAATATATATATAAGTGCATTTAAAGAATAAGTGGAAACTACAATATACATAATCCTTTGCACAGTCTCGCTCTCGAGACGGTTAAATCTGTGAAAATTGAGAAATTGGAAAATACCTTTTCATTATTTCAACTAGATGAATTCAGATGTACGATGGATTCGACAGCGTCGGTCTGTATTCTGTAACGTAATCAGACTTGCGATTCACTTGTCGCGGATATGTCATTAAATTTAGCCGCGCGTCCGCCGTCTCGCAATTCCAGAGAAGGATCGATCGCGCGGCGAATCTCACGAAGCGCCAGCGAACGCTTATGTTCCACTAATTCGATTGACCGCGCACTAACGTCAGGCTTGCACAGAGCCGATAGGGAGACAAGTCGAGCAGCAAGATATTTTCTTAGGTCTCCCAACAAAGAGTCTGAGAAAACTGAAAGAGGAATGGAAGCGATAGTGAAAGAAAGCCGAGGGCTTTCGAGTCCGCGATATCTCGAAAAGTGTCCGTTCCATATGTGAGTCACACAATTTTATATTTTTCTTCCCACCACTCTTTTTCTCTTCTTTTCCTCTAGCCTTTTTGGTTTTGTTTATTTACTTCTTCTACTTCTTTTACTATTTTGCGATTCCTTTTCTATTTCTCGATTCTAAAAGTATTCTCTTTCAAACAATCAATCAGTAATTCGATACTATGACAAGATAAACAATTAACGACCTGACTTGCTTCCTTATTGGCTCTGCGTATTCGTGACATTAATAATTGCAGTTAAGCACGGACCCCTCCGCGAATCGTAACATTTAGGATCAAGTAGGGAAATTGAAAACCTTACCTGACTTTTCGATAATTTAATTTTATCACCAAGAAAAAAAATCACTGCGTTATTTCACTCATCCGGAGAGAACTTGTAGAAAAAAAGTTTATAATTACATTACCGTAACGACGTATATATCCTTGCCGTCAAAAGAATGTATCCCCTTAAAAAAAAAAAGAGTTAACCTGATAGTCTAAAATTAAGATGGAAAAATGTCATTGGACTCGTTGGTAATATTGATTTTGCCTCTCTCCATTGGCATTTAATAGCCGTTTATTAACCATTGGCCCTCGATTTACCCAACGGCTTCAATTACTACTCCGCTTACATCCTTCTATATCTTCGCATAGATAAGATAAACCTTTGTCGAGTTTCTCCGTGTCGAAATTCAAAGACAAAGCGGGAAGACGAAATGGACCTGTCGTGATATGTTTTGGACTTTGACGAAGGATGCGGGAGATCACATTATTTTCGTGGGATGGAAGATCGATCGATTCAGGCAAGACGTAGATACTCGACGTCATTAACGTCTTGCAGTTTCATTTAATTATTTCCGGATAGAACACATTATATCTAGATATTCCCGTCCGTATATTATTCAGTTGATTTAATGTCGTTATTTCTTTTTAGCTTTGGGTTTCATTTTCCAAAATTTAACGATGTCAAACTGTCGAACACAGCTCTGATTCGTGCTGCGTGGATATTTAGATACAAAGCGTTCGATTGGGAAATACCTAGTGAGGAAATGGAGGGTATGACGCCGTTAATGTATTTAAACGAGAGATGAGCTCCCCAAGAGAAGAACGCTTATCGCATTATTGTAAGATTACACATCGACACATCCAGGATTAACTGTCACTAAGTTATTATTAATTATCGGTTATAAATAGGCATTCTCAATTATATGCCAAACGCAATTCACCGACGAATTGTTTCGACTGCTGCATCGAATGTATAGAGAAAACGCGAATATGCGTCGGAATGCAAAAGTGCGATGCGGAAAAATTATTTCGTCGAAAATCTATCGAGAATGTTATTGTTTTACCCGGAGGTTCAAACCGAAATAATTTCAGGCAAGTTCACGCCTCGACGCTGCAAACGCACACGAAAATAACTTTCTCCTTACTCAGAATGACGTAAGATTCTTTTGTACTCTTACAGAGCGTCGAAAAGTGAGTCGCCGTAACCGCGCGCCGGTTTCAACTCCCGGTTTTAGAGAAGCAAAACGCGGCTAATTGGCACGCGCGTGTCGTTATTTAACAAAACGGAGGAGAGCCGTCGTCGTAATTGTCGTCGGAGGTGAATGACGTATTTTGCGTTTGACATCGGACACAGGTACAAGTGCGCCATCGTCGATCTGCTCCATTATGGAAAGAAATACTTAAGCTTTTCCGCAAAACGTTAACCCAACGTTCCGTGGAATTGAATCCCTGAATTGGTGTCGTAGCGATAATAGTCGATCGAATAAGTCCTCGGAGAGAAACGTTGAAAACGTCAATGCCTAGGACAGCTTCACAAAATCTCGATAGCAACACTTATTTCGACAAAATATATAATAATATAGACATTACATTTTAGATATAACATTTTAATATAAACTACTCTACTTTTTTATATCTTTATCTTACATTCTGATAGAGAGCTATATATTTAGTTACGTCTTTTCATTTAAAACATCATATCTAGTGAAAACTCGACGTTTGCAACGTTTGTGGTCCGGGATTTCGATTCAGTCGTTTTGCAATTCCGTCGTCCAATTTTGTAACCGCACTGTGCATACACGACATTTAAAGTCGATGTCTTTAAAGTCGACGAAGCGTAAGTTACTCCCATCGTAAGCGACGGGAGTCGCCTATTTAATCTTGCGATGAAAACCAATTATACATTGATTAATACTTGAATTGCCGATAATCATGACGATGAAATTCCGTCCGTGGATTCACGAAAAGCAGTCTTTCCTTTAGCAGACGCTCAAGTATTTCCTACCAATGTGTTTACGATTGAAACGACCAGTTAACCACTAGTGGAAAATTCATTCGCGGGATCACAGATAAAACTATACTGTCCTTGACACTACACCGTTTAACTTCTGTCGCTAAACATCTCGTAAGATCAAGAGACACACATAGAATGCGCGATCGAGAGAGACTCGACTTACACATTATTTCCAACCGGTCAGTCGGACGTTTAATCGGGAGACTTCAGAAAGGGAGTTTAAAATAATATCAAACGTCCTCTTCCCGCGTTCCTCGATCCATTTCCTCTCGTCGTGCTTAGTATAGTATAACAAAATATAAATCTGAAGGCGACATATACGTGCGCGCGATCGCGAGCACGTACACGTGTTCCAGGGCGGTTTGTTGAATCGAATTGACATGCATCGTGAACGATGAAGAAATAAACGACGAAGCGCTTTTCCAAGATGGAGAACATCAATACAAACGTTTATTACGCGAAGTTTTTTCGAAGAAATATATACGATCGTTCAATCGTTTTGTCGAAGCTACATCGATGATAGACCGTCACGTCCGCAACTTAATACGTGGTGACGCAAACAATAAAGGTCTCTTGATGCGAAGTTGCATGTAAACGGGAAGGTAGAAAACATAACAAATTGCTCGACGGCGAGCGATGAAATTCACGCGTCTCTCTCTCTCACCTCGCCATTTTACGAAGTACGCGAATGTGCTGTACACGCCAATGCGACTCGACCAACGCCCCGTACACTCATATACAGGTGGTAGATATTTGTCTAATGCAACATGTTCCTGTTGTCATAAGGGCATCCGGTACAATGGAGTCGATTCCGGTGAGAATTACGCTGGGGACCTTTTAAATTTCGTAATTGCGAAACTTACTGACGACCTCGTTGGACTCCTGGTAGAATGGGACGCCGTGGCCCGAACGGTAGTAGAGATTCGTGGCACCACCCTCCGAAGCCCTCCTGTGCGCATTTGTAGGATGACCTTTGAGGTGAGCTGGTGAACCACCTGCCTCTTCGGTCGTATCCGGCAGCATTCTGTCCTTTGTCTTCGGCGTGCTCCAGTGCATGGTCTGCGAACAGAACGAGATTCGGTTAACTTCACAGAATAGGTAACATGAAATTATAGGCCTTTGGACCCTCATTGCTACATAGCAGTGCTTCTATTTTCAGTGGAAGAGAATCTATTACAAATTAGTAAAACAATCTACAATTTGAGGAAGAAATGCTCAGAAAGAGACTGCAGATTCGTACAATAAACTCGCATCTTTCGCTATATATGAGATAAATTATTACGATCGATATAATAGTTAGATTATCAAAATATGTTTTAAAAACTCCTCTTTTTTGTCTTTATCAATATAAAACTAATTAATATAATTTTACTTTTCTGCATTTCAAACGAGTTTTATAACAGCTATTTAAAGTTATGAATTTGTAAAAGAGAATCGACAACACGTTTTGTAAGCTCGCTCCATTAAACATGACTGCGCGTGTAAACAAATTAACTTTTTCCAACGTGCGTTGAAAAAGAACAAATTACACTGTAATAAACTGCAGCTTATCGTTCAAAATTGACAATAGCTGCATCAATTATTGCGCCTCACCTGCTGCACATGCTCCTTCATGCCGAGCCATTGTTTGTAACTGATCTTGATACCACTATTCCGCCATTTATCGTAATTGGTCCTCTTTTCGGGATCGCATAAAACCTCTTTTGCGTACTACGATATAAACAAACCATCAAAGTTCTCCCTCTGCTTACGCATTTGAAGCGAAATTAATTAGACTCCAAAATTAATTAAAATCAATTAACTTTCGCCTGTGCGAGAAGCTTACCTTTAGTTGTTGAAATTTCTTTTCGGCCTCCTTGTCACCGTCGTTCTTGTCCGGATGATACTGAAGAGCTAATACCTTATACTCCGCCGTAATTTGCTCGACCTAATTTTTAAAATGGAATGTAAACTATCTACAGCATTCAATTACGAGAATGGAGATTAATCTTTCATTTCGGAATTATGTATTTTCCTGCTATTCTGTTATCCTTTCGATTTAAATACGCATTATATAGTTAAATGTCAAATCTGAGAGAGAGGTGCACAATATATTAAACTTATTAAACTTTAAATTGATTAATTTACTTTTTACAGCGAGATGACAGAATAAACTTTAAACTTTAATTACAAATATAAGACTTATGAAGAAAGAACAGGTCACCGTTTTCGACATTCTCGAATCTAATCATTTTCGCTGTACTTAATACTTTGATATTTAATTAATTTTTCTCAACCATCTCAGCTGTCTACAATAACACAACGTAGTATCTTGCCGATGAAAACGATATATCATGAAGACGCTAACGCGATATATCGCGACCAGGGATGACATTTTCTTATCGAAAATTCTCGATGGAGATAACAAAACGTAAACTAAAGAGGAGAAAGGCAAACGACCTATCCATCATAATATCTTTACTGAACTTCTCGATATCTACTTACGTATTGCTAATAAAAAAGTGCAGAATCAAATAAATACAAAAAAATTGTGTTAAAAAATTTATAAACCGTAATTTTTCAATAAGCTCGAATTATATTGAAACGAATATAATTTTCTCGTGCATCTCCAATGTTTCATTGTAATTGGTTTGGAGAAAACGATGTATAAAATAACATACGTAGGCGTTTAAACCTATCAAGACAATCTCACGCTCCATGTATCACGAAGATGTGATTTGATTTCGGCACGAATATTGTTGTGCGCAACTTTAGCATACCGTAAACTAGAAGCAGATGAGAGACTACGCCTAATTGTGTCGATCGAGAATTCAATTAATGGAGAGTTTAAATTGCAGATTCCTACTGGGATTTAATTATTACAGAAGCATCTCGACATTTAATTTAATCATCTCAGAACAGATGTAGAAAATTAGTTTCATATACATGTACATCGTTAAAAGACCACGGTAAATGCGTTAAAACACATAAAACTTTCACAATTAAAATTTTAGATGTTAAAATTGTGAATTTTATATTTTGACTTGTAAATTTTATATTTTGATGATATTAGATCTTGAATTAAACTGTAGAGACATTTGTGATGTAATAGATAGAAATATAACAGTTATAATTAAAAATTAAATTCCTATCAATAAGCAAAGTAAGTAATTGTTGCACAACGGTGTTCAACAACATTTTTAATTAAAACTAATTATGTAATTGACTTTTTTAATTACTTCAATTAATTAAGATGTCAAATTATTAAACAGTATTTTTCTGAACGTATGATCTTTACATTTTCTCTTATTACATTTCATATCAAATGTACCAGACCATTTATCTGACTTTTACTTTGTAAATACAATTTTCGCGATAGACTCGTTTCTCGATACGGATATTTCGAGCGTAAAAGCTTGATTGGTCGACGCCTACATTACGTGTGCGATTTGATCGACAGAAGTATAATAATGCATTCATTTCATAGTGAATTAAGAAGTGAAAATTATCTTTGGTTCCCTATTTGAAAGACATTTCATCTGAAATAAGTTCTTCGAATTACAGCTATAATACTCCGAATGCACTAATAACTGACGCACGCTAATTAATTTAAAGTTTCCTGTTTGTATGTAGGGAAGCGAAGAGAAGCGATTAACTTGACTTAATTATCCAATAATCTACGATGCAACGTGGCCTGAATAATTCAGAAGCAAACGTTTCTCGCAAGACAACAAACCGCTCCACAAAATGCGCAGATTTAATTCCATTTAAACAATAATGATTGATCTAACAGAACCAACATAAAGGTAAAGAAATATCTCTAATTCTAACGAGGTTTGATTTCGCCTTGCTACCGCATATTAAGTAATCCTCTCCTTTGTTAAGTTTTATTTTTTTAAGATTATGAACTATGTATCTCAAATGTCAACGTGGCATGTAATTTAAATGCTACATTATCACAGCGATCAGTTCATATCGGGGACACAAATTTTAGTTCGCAACAAATTCGCTTCAACGTGCTAAAATCTCACCGTGGAAGACTCGTCGCAGGACAATAGAGCGTAATAGTCTTCGTCCTCGCTGGGCGAGTAATTGATGGCGTCCTCGACACTCATTTTGACGACTCCTTGCAACCCCTTTGGCGTATCCCTTCCCACCCTGTTCCTTCGGGGATCCCACGAGATCGTCTACACGCGAAAAGAGGTCGCAGCCGCTATACTCGGTGCTCCTCGTCGAAGATCTCTCGCCTTTTAAACCCGGTCAGTCGAGATTCCGTCACCTGTTGCGAGAGAACGAGCGAGCTAGTCCGTGAGTGTCGGCGTCGCGTTGTCGACTACAGCACGGGCGCCAAAGTGAACCGAGTAAGGGAAAACCGTGTCGCAGACCCGGAAAGACCCGATTCCCGGGGAATCCCGCGCGACTGCGTACTCGCCATTCCGGCGAGCCGGCACCCTCTTTACGAAACGCGCAATTCGTATCATTGCGCAGTTGCGGCTCGCGATTCACCCTTGTCCCCGTCGCCGTCGCCTCGCCCCGTAAAAGGACCTAAATCGTATCCCCCTTGATCTTGATATAATTCACTGTTCAGCTCCAAAATTCACATCCCATTCTTTGAAACGAATTGAATTTAAAGCAATCTTTTTCTGAGTCTCGCGGTCGCAAAGATTATACGGAGTCGACGTTAGGAAACCGAGATTATCGTGAAAAATTACGTGGAATCTCTCTTTCGATGTACATTGAAATAAATGAGGCTTCTTGTGTCCCGTTGCTCGTTTCTTCTAACTAGACTAGATTAGACCCGAAGGATATAAAGCAAAACTCCATTTTCTTCTCGATATTGAGTTAAGAGTGCGATTTAATTCTGCGCCTCGCGCCACGCACCTAGCCGTCTCTGCACAGAGCGAAGGTCATTTCGTGCAAATGCATAAATTTGAAAAAGTAATTACGAACGCTACGGACATACAATCGCAGTTGTTCACTGCGTCATTCTTCGATGAAAAATCTTTAAAATTAAAAGAAACGTGTTTCAGTAGATGAAGTATTTAAAAGATTAACTTTTAACGATTTATCGTCAACTGCAATCATCATGTCATTATGTCGTAAAAGTGATCGTGATAGTGATATTGGCAGAAAAGGGCTTGCAGAAAGCTTAAACCTTTTTAATACGCTAGTAGAAGAATTTTTGGTATGAGAATTTAATTTCATTTTCCCGTCTCTATTTTTTTTCCAGAAAAAAAAAAGAAAAAGAGAGAAAGCGTGACGGAGAGAGTTAAAATCTGTTACCGAAACCAGAAAATTACATTCACGCGCGCATATTTGTTTGAGAATATTTTAAATATCAAATCGACTCAGCACAAAATGCGTTTATCCAATGTCTGTCAACAAACTGTGCCGACGGCATAACAATCCGTGCATTTGTGCTCTTACGTAAGCACCGTTATCGCCGAGATTCTTGACGCGTTGAAATCGCATTCGAGACTAACGACTATCGCTCTGCGGAATCGCCTTTGCTTTCGAGAAACCGCGTGTGGAAATCGCGGAGGAGCACTTACGAGCAGGAAGATCAGCCCTGACGATCCTCCACAGCGAGACTACAATGACGTTTCGCCTCGAAATATGCGGTCGTACGTGTGGCAAAGGAGCACCATGAGACATTGTGCTCCATGTCCCGCCGCAAGACTCCAGAGACTCGTGGCTTTCACTCGCGGTTAAACAACCTTGAGCCTCTTTTATATACCGCGACTTTACCGACCGTGGAAGCGGGATTAGTGCGGCTTATTCCGCGATTTTTAATCGCGAAAACATAGTTGTTTATGGAATTTTATCGAGCGCGGTCGAGCCAGAGATGCGCCCAGCATCTCTCTGACGCTCTAAGAGTCGCGCATGACTTTATATACTGTCTCATAGAATAATATTAGAAAAATATTATGTTAAATGCGTCACGCTGTTATCTGATAGATTTTCCTATACATTTCTGCTGTCTGATAGATTCGTCACCCAAAGAGATTCGATTTGCGAGACAACGCTAAGCATGAATGCTTGCCGTGCCTGGAGGGACGCGGAAACTTGATTGGAAATTCAAATTTTCTGAGGAATCGACGAGAAGAGACGAACGGGAGACAGACATCGAAACGTGAATGAATGTGTGGCATAAATTATGCATGCCTCTTGCTTCTGCGTGGAGACGACAGTTATCGCCGGCACTTTCATTTACAACTGCTGCTGCCACTGTACCAACTCTCTGGCGTATCCTCTACGGACAACGATATAAATAATAAAGTTCCACAATTTTACATGTGCATGAATTAGAAGTAATTTTATATGCAATGTTCATTTTGATATTTATGTACAAATAAACGTTTTCTTGCATCGAGAAAATATTTATTCGCGAGATGGTTGCGTAAAAAAAATATATTGAAAATTTTAATTTATTAAATATATATAAAAGTATATTATACATTAAAAATTATATTAATGTATATATTATTGTATATTAATATTATAAAAATATATATCCTAAACTTAATTTATAACAAAATTTATAATAAATTATTATCGAATTTAAGAATGACCCAAGAAAACAGTGACCATTAAAATTATAATTTTAATAATGTGTTTATTTAACATTTATTCCTATCTCATTACACTGCATTGTGTTGACCTGTCAAAATAAAGTTTATCTAAATCGAAAGATTAATTAGCACACGATCTATACATTTTTTAAATCAAAGATCCTGTAACGTTTCTCTTACAAAATATCAGTAGTTTAGAATCAACATTGAGAGAACACAAATACTTTTGTAATTTACTATGAATTCGCAGAAATAGGTCATGTCTCTGGAAATTCACTGGGTGCACTACGCCACTACGAGCATGTCACGCGAAAAAGAAACGAAAAATATGGACGTCGGATGTAGCAGCACCATTCAACAGTTTATCATGAAAAGACGTATGACCATTTGGCCGACACGTGTCAGGCGCCTATATATTACGAAGTCGCTTACATATACCTAAGGTTCCTCACAAATAAGATCGTCGAATTTGGGAAAAATATTTTCTCGACCTTCAATTTCTCCGCGGCGGAATAAAAATATTCTTTGATAAAATGACAAAATATCAAAGAAAATATAAGTCGATTAAAAAGAAACTTAAGCGTTTGAAATGTTTTTCCGACGAAAATGGCTTACAGGTATAGACGGTGTATTAGTGTTTGATTCTTGCTGGCAGGAGATCGCGGTAATTGCGGAATTATAATTTCCGCTTTATGAATATCGTTAATTTGATCAGATCCGATCAAGATGTTGCAGCACGTGTTCCTTCCGTGCGGTTAAATCGAGCAATCACTGTCGGTGAATTACGGTACAGTAATCACTCAAAGGGTATCACGAGACACGGCTGCGGGGAGAAACGTGTCGAAAGGGTCGAACCCTTTCGCCGACTCAAGGAGACGTATATACATATGCTTTCTGAGGGCAGGAAATACATGCTCCGCTCGGCTTCCGCACGCATATGCGTGACAGACACGCAAGCGTGCGCGCGTGGCGCTATTCTTACCTCAACAGAAATTGAGGTAAGGCATCGAGATACACATGCGTGTACATACATTTTAGTTATCAAAGAAATATTCCCTCCCAATTGTTGACAGTTAAAGTCCTAAAAATGATATCTTTTAGGAATATTACGAAATCTTTATCGGATGAAGAAACGAAATCGTACGAGTTTTAAGAGAAGCACACGTTATAATCTATCTTTCTTTATTCTAAATTGTCTTAGGTATTTCTTTCAATATTTCAAGAAGATAAACTAATTTTTAAAAATTTTATTAATTTTCTACACGTTGCGTTAGGGTTCTAAAGGGTTTTGCTTTCGTACCTCTGTAATCCATTCCGCAAAAAAGGTCTACCGAATAAATAGGCAGAACTTGCACAGATTGCACAAACGTGGTGGATTTCCCCTTCAAATCCAAGGGAAAAACTCGTGCGAGGGTTACTTAAGGAGGACGCACGTGAGTCCGTTTTTCTTTACCGTCGATGAGCCGTCCTTCGACGTCTCAGCTCTACCGTCCTTGTCTATCCCGAAATAACGTTTCATACGAAGCATACATGGGCGTTCCTTTCGCACCACTGCCAGATGCGTGGGTGGTGGTAGTGAAGAAGAGAAGGAGAATGTGAGGCGAACGAGCGAGCGAGCGAGCGAGCGAGCAATCATATGGTAGCGCCGACGACAGGGCTCCCTCCTGGTCTGGCTTGTCAGTGCTTCATGAAGTGTTGCGCCGTACCCGTGTACGATCCCTGACCGAGCATGACCCTGACGGAGTCGAAACCTTCGGATCCCTAAGTAATAACTGGGAAATCTCGGAAAAGATCACGTGGCCACTTTCCAGCGCGTTCCTCTTCGTGATACGGATACGGTAGAGATGATAACAATGCTCAAAGTGTGAAGAAGAAGAAGAAGAAGAAGAAGAAGAGAAAACTGTTATCTTAATGTTTCGATGTTAATTGCTTCGTGATCGAGTGGAACAGCAGTAATCGTGATGATCGATTGTCGTCGGTGATTTCGTGAATCGCAATTAACTATGTCAATTAAGTGTCAACAAACATACGGATGCGTCAAATAATTTTAATAAACATCTACTCTTATACTAATTGGACATTCTTATACAGTAAAAAACTCTCGAAGCTATCCTGATGCAATCACCGATCAGCTTGACATGTGACATGTAAAATAATTTGTGTGTAATTTGTATTCGAGCTGTCTTACCATGATCAATGAATAAGACAGGCTTGAATCTGCGATCTTCGCAAAGAAACCTTTTTTTGAACATACTAGAAAGCATTGAAGAATATTAAAGTCCTGAATAAATACAATGATGATTGAAATAATTATGGATTACAAAACGCAGATCAGTTGTGCGAAGAAGGTATTATGGATTACGAGTAATTCAGGAAAAAAAGAAGAAAAACGAGGAGAAGCAAATGGGAATTGGCAATTTTTCACGAAAGATACGTTTACATCGTTTATTCGGTAGTGTTAAAATGATGTGGCTCGTAGTTCATTGCAAATATCAGCTCTCAAGGATCATCCCAAGCGAATTATAGAACAACCAGAAATTGAATAATGAAAGGCTGTATTAACGGTGAAACACTGAAGGTGAGTTCGCAGGCCGCGTGAGATAAATCGATTAGACTTGTATTTGCATATCCGTACTCTCCGGCGTACTATGCAAAATTGATTTACGTCGAAGGGATAAATCTGTCTCACGAAAATTTCCACTTTTATAGCGACTACTTCTCCTTTACATTTTAGCAATGAATATTTTTAGGACGTCCGTACAGAACGGGTTTATATATAAACGGATATTTGATTAGCGATATATATATATATAAAGCAATCTGCGTACAGCATAAATCGATACGCGTGGATATAGGGTTTATTAAAACATGCCTCTTCTATCTTTTTTATTATTTCTTATTTAACATTAATTTAACGATATTGCAATTAATAAGAATTTTAGATTGGTTTGTATATTATAAGTGCATAATATAATTCATAAAATGAAAAATATCGATGGAAATGTTTTAATAAATATTCTAAATAAAAATCTTCTTTCAAAATTTGTAAAAGTACACATTTTCTAAACCTCTACATATTTCTTAAATCTACAAAAATCGTCTTCTCCCATCTATCTGTACACAATCTCTTTCTTATCTTTTTTTATTTTTTCTTATCTTATAGACACAAATTACCCGAAATAATCTTGCGATAGCAAGTTAAGTTATCGTTTTCCTAAAAAGATACAAATTCGAGAAACAAATAAGACGATAAAAACGGGATGAAGCAGAAGTATAAAAAAATAACCAAGAGAGGAGTCGAGCCGTTTTTCCAAGGCAAGAGCCCCTTGATTACGCTCGCGCTAAGTCGCGTCTTTATGGTCTCGAACAACGCGGTACATTCTGGATATAGCGTGTGCCGCACATGTGCACGTTTACAGGGGCACGTGCACATCGCCGGATACAGGCTTCTTTTTATCGGACGACCATGCGTCGTTGCAGGTGCAGATGCACGGCGCGACGCAGCGCGGCGTTCTTCGCGACGACGCGTCGGTCGCAGGAACAGATCTCTATTAATAGCAACGAATGTGCGTGATTTGTTCGGGAAACCGTGTTTAACTTTAGGAGCGGTGCTATTTGAACTTTTGCAAAATATGACGAGCCTTCGGCATTTTTAAGAATTTTGTGAATCAAGCGAACGCGATGCAATGTGTAGTTTGAGAGATGCGAAATTATCCGTGGTATTTATGTTAGAGAGATAATCGATAAAGAACAATTGAAATAAAAGACATTATCGCGCTTAATAGATTTCTTATTTGCGAGATGTGTCATTACCCACACACACAGCAGTCATTAATGTAATATATTACTTCCGTTTCAATTATTTCTTTCAAAATAAACAGGCTATATAAGAAGCAATTAATTGTGTCTTCCAATGTCAACCTATGAGATTATAATTTTTGCAAACTTTTTTACAATTGCTTTAAAATTTAATAAGCAAATTTTTAATATAATTAATGATTTGTACGTCTTTTACCCTAATATTAGTTTAAAAATGTATATTTTTACATTTATGTATATTTTTAATTAGTAATAATTGTTTGTCACGTCATTTTACAAACATATTACAAATTAATATTTAATTCTGTTAAAAACAAATATTTAAAAATTTCTACTTTTTATTTTTATAAGTAATAAAAAAATTATTACTTTTATCTTAAAAATATTACATCTTGATCCTATTAATGCATACTGATCATAATATTGATCATAATACTTTCATTTCTTCAGGCGCACAATTTGGCAAAAAGAGTATATCGAAACTCGAAACATTCGACTTTTCATGGGTACAATCACCTTATTTCCCTCTCTTTCAATCTCTTGCTACCCTTCTCCCTCTCTCTCTCTCTCCCCTCCCCCCTCTCTCTCTCACCCTTTCTATTTATCTCTACCTCTACCAGGCACACGTTCTGCCTCTCCTGATCGTACGAAAATAGTAACTGTTGCGGCAACTATGAGAGCAGAAAGTTGTCGCTACATCGCGCATTTGCTGAACTAAATTCGAGGAAATGCACAGATTCTCAGCTAATACTATCAGTCATAGTCACATGGATTGACAAAAATAATTGTTATATAAATCTAACAGAATGCAGGGAAGAATAGATTACTAATTTTGCATGAAAATAAAGATTATAACTGTATCAAAACTGTATTATGAGTTTCGTATAGTTTGGATGAAATAATTATACGTCGGGTAAAAGAAAAATAAATATTGTGTTACTTTATAGATAATAAGATTTCAATTATTATGCACGTGCATGGGAAATCCTTTCATAAAGGGGAGATTTTCTCGTAAAGCAACTTGATAGGCACCATTGTACGGATAATAGCGGCGGATGCGAGATACACGGAGGACAACATGATAATGTCGCGTGCATATAGCACGTGAATGAATCGCATTTGCACTCGACCCCCATTTCTTCGTTCACCACCCCCTTCTGCGCGCAAATGTAAACGGGTCGCGTTCCCCGTGCGCGCAATGCGCGGTGTCTCTCACCGTGCTAAATATAATATTCGCGTGTATTTTCAGCGATGAATGAAAGTGTCCGACACTTTCCCGCGTGAGATTTTCTGAATTAGGAGAGAAAAGATTCGCGATCGCGGTAACGAACTCTCTGACATCGAAATTTCAATACGAGTATGCACCAGCAAACGGGATAAAACGCGCGAAAAATGTTATGAATAAAATCTGTACCTGAAAAGTAGAAGAATCTAAAAATTTAATATTATTAAAAGTCTGTAAGAAGATTGTCGCATTATCGATCAGTATTTCCTTCTTTTTATTAAGTTAAATAATGACTATATTATTTCTAATTGAACACAGAAAAAAAGATTAGCTATACTATAGCTAATTGTAAACTAGAGACAGCTAACATTTTTTTGCAACGAGAGCAAAAGGTTTTGCTACTATTGCTAAATTATAGCTCTCGCTGCAAAAAAATGTTGGGTGTCACTAAATTTACTTTTCAGCAGCTATAATCCCGTGAAGCACTAAAAAATAGACATCATCGTCGACTGGTTTAGAATTATTTTTAAAATAATTTTGTGAACATTCAATATAAAAATTGTTCGCGTTTATTTTTCTGCTTGTCAGATATAGAAATATTTGTGTAATAATAATACGAAAACAAATACTATAGTACATATTTTGTATTGCAGGTATCCTTGGCATTCAATTGAGCCCTTTTACAGAGAAAGTCATCATCATGGCACTCGGTGAGTTTTATTCTTTCCCGGTGCAATCGCAGCGGAGATCGCAAAGATCGCATACAGATTTCAGAGACGCGCTCGGCACGCGAAGCACGTAGTTCACGCATAATCGCGCGTCCCTCACATCTCTCTCATTTTCATTCACAGACAAGCAGTAGCTTACTCACGACATTCGTTGGTCGAAATTGCGAATGTAATCCGCAATGCAGTTTGTCGGTGCAGTATCGGATTTAAATTTGCGAAACACAAGCAACAATATAATTTGAATATTTCTCCGCGCTTCAACCTGGTTGTGATAAAATGTTTTAGCTAAAATTAAAAATAAATTTATACATCTGTAGGTATTTTTCTAAAAAATTTTCAGATTTACTTACAGAAAAAAAGAATTTGCTCTAGATCATTAAATTCTTAAATAATCCCGAAGTGTCAGAAGACAATGAATGTTAATAATGAATAATGTGAATAACGGAGAAAATTTCTTATCCAAACAGCAAGCTACATAAATTTATCCGGGTTAATGCCCATCTTTGTCGGACTCAGTAAAGCGGCTCGCGAATTGAGGTGGTGCATTTCCGGCACAGCTACCGCGTATTCCTACCGGTTCACCGGGTGGGGGGAACAATGCAACGTCCGGTCCGATGTATCCCCCCACTGTGGCCGAACCCAATGGTCGGAAGGCTCGTCCATGGTGTCCCATCAACATAACACAGCTCCCACAGTCACAGGTGGACTCGCTATTAGCCTAGTCGCGACTGTGGCACAAACTCGGGTCGTGATAAGAGCAAATGTCACTTCAAATGACGTTTTAATCTCACAATCAGATTAGACGAGCGCCTCCTTCGCAATTCCGTGCGCGATGTCGCGGCGGTGCACAGATCGAACCGTATTTGACGTCTAGATTTTCATTTAGATTCTGATTCGCGGTGGAAAATCGAAAATCAAACTCGGAGATTTTTAATGAGACAATAAAGAGTGCTACATTGAACTAATAAAATAATTAATTAATTATTTAAACTTTATTAGTTACTCCTTCCTATTAGTGATTCAAATGTGGTAAAAGTGATGTTGAAAAATGTTCCTCGATTAATGTAACAGAACTGTACCAATACAGAACAGACATCCTTGGTGTTAATTGTACAAGTTAATGATGAACATGCAATGGGAATTCGCGCAATCTCGTACCTTTTGCAACGCCGATTCACCTCGAAGTAGTGTTGACTGTAACAACTGTACGAAGATTACATCACGACGATAATCTAATAAATTTCGTAGTAGACCACTGAAGAAGGGAGTATCCAGTGAGTGAATTAAGCTCGTGACCCGGATCCGTTCGATACGTATGTTTACAGATAACCCGTCGTACTTCTCGATCGTCGGGACGTCATCGTCGAAAGCGACAGCGACGACGACGATATCGGCATCCCCGACGTCGCCTAGGGGTTTCTCCGCTTTATTTCGCCGAAGAGCATGCAAGATGGGCGCGGCAGCTTCGTCCCAGGGTGGCGTCCTGATCTCGGGATCAACGTCCAGTGTGCACCACGGTAACGCGTCAGGCACGTCGGCGCCGTCGACGCCGACGGAGGAGCGCGTCCCGATGCTGTCGCGGAACGGCGCGATCCAACCCGGATGCAACAAGAGGAGAAGCTTCCGCAATCTTTTCCGGTCCGTGAGCGCGAACGCGGAACACGAGAAGACTCAGAAGTTCCTCAAAGGCGACCCGAGACCGTCCGACGTTGCGCCGCCGTCGCCGTACCTTCCTCATAGGTAAAAGTCGTTTCTTTTTCCACGTATATCGAAACGCACAATCCAAATAAATTTAATTTATTCAGCTGACTAGCGTTTCAATTCAGTTATTAGATGTACTTATTATGGATTGTCTTGCAGGTCGCATTCGCACTCCGAGAAAGATCGACGTCATCTTGGTCGGACCAGGAGAGTCTTAAAATCTGCCGGAGAACTTCTATCCAATGATATGATCTATTGCGGTGTAGAAAGAGGTAATTCCAAGGATCATAACGGTAACGAGGACAATACCGGTAGCAATGACAATACCGCAGAAGTCTTCTTCGATGAGGACGATAAGAGGTGAGTGATAAAATTATCGTTTTTTTTTTCTTGAATGAGATTGTTATTTATATCAACTTTAATCTCATATCTTTGTAATTAAGCTCAAATTTTGTTCATCTTCGATTTTATTACCAAATAATCTGCCATTAAAAAATAAGTTGTGACAAATGGATCACATCCTGTATACGTTATTTTAAATATAATCAGAAGAATATTTAAAGGGAGGAAAGCTATATGGGGGGGAATAATGGGAAAACTTTTTCAGATATTACAACGTTTCCTCCACTCTTCCCACAACCGCCAGTCGAAGGAGGCACTCGATCGGCACTTTTCTCGGAAAAGAAACAGGCGGTAATATAACGGCTCCTGGACGACAAACAGGAGGATCCAAGAATCTGTTGGAAGCAGATACGGTGGCAGCCTCGATACCGCTCGACGATATCGATGGCATGCATTGCAATGAGAGCAAACAACCGTCTTGCAACAGAACTAAGCGAAGAAGACATAAGAATTCATCCAATAGAGGTGAGTACCGATCAACGTAGATTCTCTTCATTGAATGCTCGCGAAATTATCGTTAATCCTTATTATTGAACGTGATACGCTTAATAATTGCTTTTAGATTGTCAGGATCATAATTATAGGAATGAAATCAAGTTTAATACGAATCCGAATCAATTCCAATTCTAACTCAGGTTTCACTTGAAAGTTCCTTTCGTTTTCTGCAAGCGTTCATAATAAGTTCGTAGATATCTTTTCTAAGCTCGAGTCTACATGGAAGTGTTTTCACTTCTTGAAACAGTCATAAGAAGATTGAACTTATCGTGAAAGTTCGAGTCTAGCTGTGAGATGTTCGATTTTATCTTTAGTCCTGTGACGTAATTCTAGTTTTTTGATTGATAATCTCCTATTCAGTAATCAGGTAAGTTTCTCCTTCTAGTACTTTTCCTCGATCGAAGATGTCCTTTCAAATCTCGAAATGACGTAGAATCGCTGGGGAGAATCACCGAGTTGCGCGAGTCGCACGAATTCTTTTTCTATCATGAAAATTGATAGTCATTTCTATGAGGATAGCGCACTCGATTGAAGAGTTCTCGCATTCCCACGTCCCGTTTGTCGCACGCCCGCATGAAGCGCGAATCACGCCTGCTGTGTTATAAAAGTCGGAGCACTGCGACACAATTTCGATCGCTACACAGCATCGATTGTTCTCCAATTTCTATTCATATGACACTTTTGGGCCGCTCTGGCTTTAATTACAGCGCTGAGGAGTGACAATTGTAGACAGTGTCGTATTTATTGGACGAATTTCACGCGAAAAGAGCTAAGTGCTTCTATAATATGTATACAAAAAGTATAAAATTATCTTTATTGCATTTAAATTGATTTCACTAATCGACTTTAACTTTTGATTAAGATTAAGCATCAAATCTCTCATTGGTGAAAAAATTAATATTATACAAAAATATTATTTCAACAAGAAGTCAATAATGTGCTTAACGTTCGACAAAAATGATCAATATAAAGCAAAAAATTTTCTTTATAAAAGAAGACATTTTCTGACCTAAAAATAATTCAAATTTATTTATAATTATACAAACTTTCAAATCGTGTTTAAAGAATCTGAAGAGGAATGTGTTATCGATGATAATGATATAAATAATGTTATTATTAATTTAATCATACACACATATCCTATCTAAGAACAGACACACGAGATGTTGCTGTAAATTACTTTATTAAACTAACTTTTCTAAAATTTAAATTAAAGTTCACATAAATAGCCTATAAAGGATATCCGGCGATCTCGCGATCACGTAACGGATAAAATCCGGGACCGGTTCGCAGATGAACGCGTACGTAAGTCAGATGAAGTCCGCCCCGGAAGTTGACAACCTTTAGTATTCGGCGAGCGACTTCGTCGTTTTCCAATGGTCGATCGTGCCGGTCGCCACATACGCGATCATAAAACTCCCGAAATTTACGATGTTACGTGAACATGAACAGCGGAAGATTCTCCGATGCATGTAAAACTCATTTTTTCTCAATAAAAAAGTCGGAGCCTTAATAACTTTACAATAATAACATTACATATAAATTTGTAATAAATAAGCGATTGTAAATGCGAATAAATTTACAAATCAAGCTTCTAAACAGCCAATCAAATAAAAGATCTCATTGCTCAATCCCAATAAACTTAACTTTTTTAATAGCAACAAATGAGTGAATAAAAAGCCTAAATGTGTTAAATATTAATATATATAAAACAAAGCCTAAGTAAAGTAGTGCGATTAACATTATTCCATCGTAAATCTATTAATTGCAACGAATCATATATCGTGTTGTTGTGCGATACAAGAAGTTTACTAAACTTTATAATAGTTATTAAAGAAGGTTAACATTTCGATTACCATTCGATTAGACAAGGAATATCTATAAATAAAAGCATGAGCTGCTGAGCAGTCTCTTAATTAAGAAAGTCAAGCAGGCGACGTTGTAGCACATGTGCATTTAACAGCGAAAATATGACCTCAGCCAGCATCCGGCCGTGCTCTAATTAAAACCGGTAATGAATCGTAGATATTCACGCAAAAGTCAAAATTAACAATTCCATCTGCGATACCGGCAATAAAATTTATACATGTATATAAAATAAGTAAGACAAAGATCTGTGGTAAATATAGTAAGCACAATCATCTTCGTTATCTGATCGTTAATTGACTTTACAACTAACTAGGCCACATCAGTACATCCGGTCGAGAATTTTTTTTACGTTCTCTGCGAATCAAATATAATTTTCGAACTGCCAACTATTCTAAAACGATATGGAGGCAACGTAAAACGATTTTGATTCAATATATAAAGTGCGAAAAACTTTTCTATCGCAAGAGAGACAGATAGAATCGACTCTCGTGAAATTGTTTTTACGACTACTGTCCAAAGTTGGACGTCGGAAAACTTTGTGCAATTTAAAGAAATAACATTTTATACGAGTGTCTGTCCGAGAAAGCAATATGTCCAACGACAGAACGTTAATTTGTTCTTCCAATGAATCCGTCGTTTACGACGTGTCGCGAAAGGTGCGGAGAATAGATAAAATGTATTTGTGAAACTTAGATTCGTTTCTGGAATGTGTTTTCACATGTCTTCCGTTGCGAGCGTCGCGCAGCGTGTCCCTACCAACACGAAACGGAAATATCCGTCCATATGTTGACACGAGGTTGCAGGCAGTTGTATTGGCGCACATCCTACGACCTCATCGAAAGAATACGCTCCCCCATGCCATAAATTTCTTCCCTCCCGTCTTCCCGTCTGGAGCAAAGACCGTTTCAGAAGAAAAATCACATCTTGCTTCGCAGTCTGCATTAGCAAACACTATTCAGTATCATTAAAAAAACTTCATCAATTATTTGATTGTCAAAATTGATTTCTTTTAAACAAAGCTTCCCACGAGAAGATTTTTTTGTTTCTATCTTATTCTTTTACGTCAGATAAGTATCTTTTGGCCGTAGCATCAATAACGCGAACCTATATTATATTTAAAAAAAGCTTATAGTTACATCGTATCGTACATCAATGTAATATATATATACATCATGTAATGTGTTCTATATATCGATTTATGTTGCGTAAATCTGCGGAAATGCACATGTCAAAAAGATCAACTTGCAGCGCGATATCAACAAACAGGGTGCGTCGAGCGATAAACCGAGCTCCCATAAATCTAGTGAAAGACGGAGGTCAATAACCGCGGGATTAAGCATTCTGTCTGCATATTTGATTCTATCCTCATATTATTTACCGGTCGTACTTCCTGGTGTTACACCAGCACAGATCTAGCGCTTCCGGCGCTGACAGTTAGTTTCCGTGGGGCGTCTCGTATCGATCTCCCCGACGCAATAATAAATCAAGAAGCGTGAGGAAAAGTGAAACGTAAAGGCAGCTAGTCTTAACTAATCAAACAGAAAATTACAATAATTAAACTAATCTGAATTGAAATCGTTCTCCATTGGAAAATAAAAGATTAACAATACATAGTGCACATTTTAATAAGCAATATCGTGATCTTGAATCAGATTTTTCCATATTCTTCTTTATCTTTTGTTTGTTGTGATTTTTAATATACGCATAGAGATAATAACATTATTTAATAATGTATCTTTGGAATTAATCATTATTATTCCTTCTTTCGAGCTACAAATTCAGAAGTTGTCTTGATTAAGTTGCATTCGAATCGCAACAACCACAACCACCATAATTAGTGCAATTAGTGACCGAGTCTGTGTATATTGAACCGTGTTCCACTTGCATCCACGCATGCTTCTACTTTGTTCGGATTTACTACAGATTATCATGGAGTCATGCACGTCTCGCTATTCGAGGAACGACAAAAACATCCGGGAAAAAGGAAGGGCTATCCTTTTGCTTTGATATTTATTCGTGCTATAAATATTTACGCTTTGAGATTTTGTCCAGAAACTGGGATGAAACGGAGCTTCTGTAAACTGCCTGAAAGCTCGCAACTGCTAATTGTTTACGTCTTTCATTCCCGATGTATGATGATGAAATGGAAAAAGAAATCAGTGCAATTAATCATTTTAATAAAAAATTAAGATCCATTACGAAACATTCCACTAAACTTTCTCAAACATTACATAATATTACATAAAATAGTTATGTAATTTTACCATTAACAAACAATTTCGTGTAAATATTTTAATAGCGTTAGCATTAAGTTCAAATAAGAGAAAGGATGTTAATAACACATTATATTTAATCCATTAATATAAGAATATTTTTACAAACTGGGCTATCACAATAATGCCTACAGTGTTCGAAAGGGTTCAAGTATAATTAACCGATTAGTATGATGTGTTTTAGTTCGGAAGGGTAATACCGGAAATTTCTCTCACGAAAATACATGTCGGTTTCGCTCGATTCGAAACGTCAATTTAGATTCATGCTCGAAAAGGGATTCGAGAGGCGCGATCGGAGTTGGAACGACCATCAAGTACATAAACGAGCTTTGATTGGTCAATACGCGATGTCCGGTATAACTACGATTTATCCAGCGAACCAAAAGTCAAGTCCGTTTCTCTTCGATAATTCTCCCTCGCTTATCGATCCCGCCGATCGTCCGCGAATCAACTGAACTGCATTATTTGTCATCGAATTACATACATCTTATTGTTAGTATTTGTAAAATGGGTCTTCTCTCAGACTCTATGTATATATTTTATCAGAGTTCTTACTTTTTACTAACTGAAACAAGAATCAGACTACAGATATTGTTATTATAATTCTACTATTGATATTTTACATGAAACGTATCTATGATTTTTACATCCTTACAAGGAAATAGTCTTGTTTATAATTAAAAAACAAACAGAGTTTCCCTTAATCATGTTTAACTTAAACCAATTCACTTTTAATTTAACTGACTTTCAGTTTCATAGAAAATCGTTATCTTAGAACGAAGCGTAAATAATAAAAATTCACAGAAAACTTCTGCACGCCATATTTCG